AGTACAATAGTAAATATCAATAAACAAATAGGATTTCTTTATTGGATAAACATATTTTATTATAATTTTACATAAAACTTATTGATTTCAATAAGACTTTTAGTAGCGTGTATACAAGACATTGACCGTAGCTAAATGGTTAAACGTTTTGCCAGCATTTCATTAAGCGTAAGGTCCTGGGTTCATAGCTCGGGACAAAAATCAATTGTTCCGGTAGGTAGGGCACAGAAGTTTTATCAACTATTTGCCTGTAAATAAAATCTATCAGTGTACACAGAAATGTGTTCGCCCCATATTGTTATATATACACAGACACAAAAAAAAAACTGTTTCATCTCGCCCACACAAATATTATTATAAAATGTACATTTTAACCGTTTTATATTACTTTAATACAGCTCAAGAATAAACAAAGAAAATATTATACTAAAAGTGCCGCACAATATTATATTCGTCAAATGAAATATGCCATTGTAATAAATTCAATACATTACAAATTTATGGTTCTCCCTTATGTTGTACTCATACTCGAAAAAATCCAAAAAGCCTTCCTGCGATTCCTTTACAAACACCAATACGGTTTTTATCCCTACTTGTATCCGACTTTGTTTTTATTAGGACAGCTTGGTTTTAATTCTTTGGAAAGTCGCAGATCTCGTGGCCAATTAACTATAGCCTGTAAGTTGTTTCGAAACCAAATCGACGATCCTTATTTGAGGGAAGCTTTTTGTCGACTGTTTGTTCCGGACAACTATGGCCGCGCTAGGAGACACGATTTGTTTGACGTCCCAAAAGGTCGCACCTCCGCCCGTGAGTTTTCGCCGATACCGCGAATTTTGACCTCACTCAACGCTCTCCTCAAGTTAAGACCCAAATGTGACCTCTTCGCAGATGATTGGTCAACAATACTAAAAGAATTGTCTGCCTTTGAAATGATCTCCTAATGTAATTTGTAATAACCTATTTTTAATTGTTATTGTTTAAGTATGTGTCTCCAATTAATGTAACTGGCTATTGCCGTTTTAATTGTTGTAAATAAATAAATAAATAAATGTTTCCCAAAGTCCTGTATATTTTATGTTTTTCGTAAATTATTCCATTTTATGAGGAGCAAGCGTTTTATTATGTTTTGTTTATGAAAATTAATTATATAAATTGATATACAAAATTAATTTAGTATGAAGTAGTGGTATAAAAGAAATAATGAGTCTTACTATTTAAAGACATGCGTTAAAAGCAGATAAACAATTTAACATCTTTTCGTTAAATTCGGTTACCATGGCAACCAATAAATTATCCTATTTTCTACGTAATATTTCGCTACCGAGTAACTCAGTTTAAGAAATTCAATGAACGCGTTCCGCGGTCCACAATTAAGTTTAATTCTCCCAAGAGACATTTTCGGAATTTTCTCAAAAGGGTTGCTTATCTCATTCAGCTATTTTCGTGAATAATTGGTCGTACTTTTCGTAGTACGCTTAGAAAAACCTGCGAAAACACATCGAAAGCGAAATCTTACACACTTTACCTAATTAAGCTTTTTAGCTTAACTAGAGAATTGCAGTACGATTTTCTCGAAATGAAAATAAAATATTATTTCTATCGAACATAATAAAAGATCGTATATGTCTCTACGTAATTGAGTCTTTCTTGATCTTAAATGAAAAAATTAACGTTATAAATTCATGTAAGAAAAATGTAGGTATACTTTTATTTATTTACTAATATTATTATATTGTCTGTAGTTTACCAGTAAATATTTAAATAAAACAATTTAATGGCTTAACACGTGGCTGCAAAGCAACCTAAACGTCCGGCTGTAGTTAAAATAATTTTCAAATAAGTTTAACTAATATAAATCGCGTTTTAAATCGTTAAAGTGATATATTTTTATCGTTATAAAAATTGTGTCTTACAGAAAATGGCCTTATAATCAATAAAGTAATAAGCATAATGCACAAAGTTTCATAATTAATAATTATGTAAAATCAATTATTAATAAATCTCCTTCCATTACCAACAAACGAAATATCCAATTAACGTCTAACCAAAAGGGGTAATAGCAAACAAACGATTATAATCATCACTTAATCAAAGAATCATTACAATCTTGTTCCCAGAACCCTTCAGTTTCAGTCGGCGTTTGCGAAATTCATGGAAGATTTCGTGATTAAAACAGTTATTATATTGCAACCTGAACTCCGTAATAAATGACCGTTCTTAATTTCAGTTCTGAAGTCGCTTTAAATTTGGTTGATGCTTTTCTTCTTGGTTTTCAAACTATTTCGTCATTAATCATTTTCGTAATTAGCGAAAGTGTTGCATACTTTGAGACTTCGAATTCAATAGCTGTTTATGCTTTAAAATGTGGTTTGCGACATCTGTAAATTGATGATGTTATGCTGTAAATTTCATAGTCTTTGTATAAATAAAATCTGCGCAAGAGTTTACTTTTCGAATTAATCTAATTATACTATCTATACTAATGTATAAAGCTGAAGAGTTTGTTTGTTTGTTTGAACGCGCTAATGGCAGGAACTACGAGTTCGAATTGAAAAATTATTTTTGGGTTGGTTAGAGCATTAATCGAGGAAGGCTATGGGCTATAAAACATCGTCGTGTGACTAATAAAGCACAGATACAGCGGAAAATGTGACAAAAATTGGGAAAATTATTCATCATTATGGGTTTCCGAGGCGTACGCTGCAAAAACGGATAGAAAGATATCCAAAAAACATGTAAGACTAGTCCGCGACGCTATATGCCTATCTTTTAAGATTATCCCTTAAGAACGACGGGAAGGGACGCGACCGACGTCGTATAGAATAACTCTTCCATGCGGACGAAGTCGCGGGCATAGCAGCTAGTATATAATAAAGCCGAAGAGTTTGCTTCTTCCAACGAAACTAAAGAGGAAGGCTTTAGGCTATTAAATATTACGCTGCGATAATAGGAGCAAACTGGGAAAGTGGAAAACGAGACGATATCGTGGGTCAGCTATAATTTATATATATGAGGAGGAAGTTTCCAAAAATAAATTTTTAAAGACCAATTCTACGTGGATGAAGTCGCTGGCACAGCTAGTACGAAAATGAAATGTGTATCCATTCTATTCGGAATATAAACAGAAATCCTCGTATCTAAGCCGCGATATAACATAACACAACATAAGCCGAATGAAACATAAGCTAAGTGATTTATTTTATTTTTATGAAAGTGGCTATAACGTGTAACATATCAACTGATTGACTACCTTCACTATCCTTCAACCATAACCTTTCACGACAATACTCAGTTCTTCATAGAATACTCCACTAAAAGGCGAACTAGCGGTCAAACTTCAGCCATCCCAACTTACCTTCAAGTGGCAGCTATAAAAGTTGTGTAAAAGTGCTAGACAATCGCACTCCGGACACTTCCAAAGTTGATGCAATTCAAATACGCCAAGACAACAGTTCTGCTACAAGATAAAAGTTCAGGGCCGTTAGAGGTACTACATCAATACATCGCGCTTAGCAACAAAGAAGCTCTTGGGGCATTAAAACTTGCTACTCCGTCTAAAGCACTCTTAATGGCCAAAAACTTTGCACACTGTAGTGCTAATTGTAAAGTTCTTTTATCAGATAAAAATTTTAAGCTTCTTTATGTTCGTTAAGGTTTCGTACTAGGGTAATGTGATGTTTAGTATTTACGATATGATTTACCGTTATTTTGGATATAAGTAACAATATTTAAGTTCTGAATGCATAAAAAAAAACATAACTACGAATTCGAATTGAACCATCAACAAAAAATACTGAAATTAATACAATTTTCATTCAAATAAACTTGGATGTTCATTTAATAAGTACGTGGGTAATTCTTTTTACTATTATTATAGAAAAATATTGTAAATATATGCATAATTAATAGTACTTATACATATAAAACACTTTTAACGGGTTCAAATGATAAATATATTGGTTAACTCAGTCTCCAAGCTGCCGAAACGTCGGGCCGTAGTTAACATTAATTGTAAGTTGGTTAACTTATATATTTCGCGTAGTAAACCGTTTAAAGTGTTTTATTTAAATTTCTTTTAAGATTAACCTGCAAGAACGACGGGGCGCGGGGGACGTCGTGGGTCGTGGGTAAAGTTGATGCTCAAACTTACTTTTCTACGCGGACAAAGACGCTGCCACAGCTAGTGATAAATATTTAGAAAACATAATTCGTTACAACTCATTAGAATTGCAGAAATTCCAATTCAAATTTAGAATCATTAAAAGAACATAAAGATCTTTCCGCAGATGAAACAGTATTTATACCACTCGTCAAGTTAAAGTGGCCACTTTTAATTGACAACGGAACCCTAAAACTCGATGATTCGTAACAGTATCGTAAAAGCGAATGTAAGGATCAGCGCTCGAGTTGTAATGAGTTTGTTTTTTGGCAAGATCATCCCTGTTATTACGTTATACTGCTTACGTAAGCGATTATGTTTTTCCTTCGCTATCTTGGATTGTGATAGTATTTTTTAGAAATATATAAAAATATCGATCAGAACTCCTCGGTCATTTACATTTTGATTAAAATGTATAATACCAAATAATTTATAATTTATTTAAATCATGAAAAACTTTGCCTGAAAATCATGATGGGTGGTAGAAATTCTAAAATTACGTCGGGCCGAGCCACCCTCCGTAGATAAAAAGTCGTGAAGTTTAATCGCATTTCGGTTTCAGTCTGTGGACTTACAAAAACCCAGAGCAACATAGGTCTATAGCGATCTTAGATGTTATATCTGGGATATTTCACCTTCCATTAAGTGCTTATTTTTCTTCATCATAGAAACGGAAATAAAAATTTTCGCAAGATAATATTATGCTGCGTATATATTTTTAGCAAATCCATGTTATGCCAATTTTGATAGCTTAGATTTACCTTAATTTGAGTTTTATAACTTAAATTAATGTTACAGACAATGCGTCGAGCGCAGATGTACAACGAATGGATGCGGCATGGCTAGCGAAGCGTGGAGACATCGAGCAGAGATGCACGCGCGATCCATCGGATACCGTATCCAAATCAGTGTCCTCATTGTCGTGATGCTGCTGGGCCTCAATGAGAGTCAAGGTAACAGCCTACCTTGCATAAAGGAGTTAATGTTATTGTTTATACTTAAACACTAATGTGTTACAAGTCTCAAATAACATTTTTCTTTTTATGTCTAAACGTATGTTATCTGGTGATAAATTTTGATTTAAAAAGTTTGTGAAAGGAAATTAAAAATAATCTAATAACGCGGCTTTAACAAACTTTGTATCCAACAACGTAAGTTGAACCATTACTTGCCGAACTAAGGGTGCAAAATAAACATTACAACATATAATTATTACTATACACTTTTGACGGTTTAAAACGTGATATATATTAGTTGGATTATTCACAATTTATTTCGCATTTGGAATTTCGGTATTTAAACCGTTAAAGTGTTTTTATTAAATTTAACATCATATACTTTGAGTGCCAATAAAGAACTTATTTTTTTTACGATAGAGGACAGACAAGCATATAGTTCACCAAAGATAGATGAAATAGCATCTAAACATGATGTGCTGTCGGCCTACTTTGACTATGGATATTCATATAATATATTGATAAAAACATGAATGATACCCGTACAGAATTTATTTATTTGGGTCAAAATTAGAAATTGAATTTAAGCAACTTCCCGCTGTCAGATTGATCTGAAATTTGGTACGCACATTTAATTTAGATGACAATACAATATAATAAAATCTAAAACATTATAAATCCAAGATAGCCGCCGATACAATATGGCGGATTACATATTTTTCCTTAACCCCCTCAATATGGGTATCAAATGAAAGGGCTACTCTAATAAAGCACGATTATTATGTCAAAATGTTTTTTTTTTTAGTTTTTTTTAGTTTGCACAACAAATAAAATCGTTTAACTTAAACGTTTTTTACCGATTTTAATTTAATTTAAAATCTACATTGAATGCACAATTACGATTGGTTTATTAGCCGTCTTTAGCTAATTAAAACATAATGGGTGGTTATATGGTTAGTAGAACGGTACGCGAAGCCTTTTTACTTAATTGCTGAACTCAATTTGAATGGTTCATTACGTGGTGTGTTAAGGTATTTGAATTTACGTGATCGATTTTCCTGGTTGGTCTTCTAGTTAGTACACTTTCAGATTTCAGATAACGAGGTAACAGATTCGAAATGAGTAGATTTTGAAAAGTTTTCACCAATTAAATCAATAAAGTTTCAAAATTAGATGTTAGAAGGCCCATTTACCTTGTATTAAGGAAACTTAATGCTTGAATGGCTTCCTCTGTAAAAAAGGCAGATCTTGTAGACCCTAAAAAATAATTAAGACTATTAAATTAAAATAAAACACTATTAACTTTACAGTTTATTTTTATTACAGGCCGACTTTTAAAAATCCTTGTATATTTTTCGGCGTTTTTAACCGTTAAAAGTATTTTTTTTATGTGTACTACTGGCATACGCTACAGACAATACTACGGACTACTTACAGTCATATTAATAAAAAAGTAATAGATTCAAGGTTATTTCCAACATTGAGACCCCTTATAGCATCTAAACAAGACGCACTGTGACCTATCTTTGGATTCGAAGGACGGGGGGGGGGGGGGGGGGGGACCACCGTTCGCCCACCACGAAAATTCGATAGTCCTTTCTACCAATTTATCATTCAGATTTCTAGACAAAGTCCAACATGTGTCAGAAAAATTAATTAGCAAAATACCCGGTCGGGATCGAACCCGATTACACTAACGAGCTATAATTTTATAGATGACATACAAATATTGCCTTCACGTATTCACCAGTATACTGTCTATTCCTATCAACTTAACAAACGATCCCCGCCAACATAGCATTTGAAATTATCAAGCCGAAACATTGATTTGCTAAACAATTCCAATTGGCCTAACTACAATTATCTAGTACGCGGAACTAATAGACCATTATTTCCTTTTTACGACCGCATTCACTTAACTGGAATATTAGTTGGAGCTAATATACGCTGTTCGCAGAGATATCGGCCTATGTGTATATGTAATGAGACATACGAGTATTTCTGCGTCCTTGTTAAACCAATTGTGAAAAGGCAAACAATGTATTAAACTATGACATAGTTTTAAAACAGCCTAATGCTTTTTTATTGAGTAGCCATAGAAATATATATCGATCGGCAACATAGGTATCGATCTAAATATTTAAAACTGATATAGGTCGTTAGCACATTATGTGAACCCATCAAAGGAACGCCATGCTTTTCTATCCTCTTAAAAAAAAACTATTAATGATAATAATTAATTCTATAACATAGTACCTAATAATAATATTTTCTTGTGCAAAAAGCGCAAGAAAAAGTACTTTTACTTAAGCTAAGATGGAACAACATTAATTAGTCCTACATACTGTACGTGAATAATACAAATTTAAATGCAGCACATGTAATGGTTTAAAACGCGAATTATATTCGGATCATGTAAAACGTCGGGCCGTAATGAAAATAAATCGTAACCTTAACTAACTCTATTCTTTTCTATGATAAAAAAGAATTGAATGGCGTTTTTATTCGTTTATAGTTTGGCACGTAAGGACTTAACCTAACTTAATTTGTATTATCGAAGAATCTTTGAAAGTTCTCAATTTATTAATCTTCTAGCTTTTAACAAGCTAACTTTAATGCTTTCAGATTTATAATTCAATAGTTAACTTTTAAATAACGAATTGATGTTCGAATTTCATACTTTAAACTTTTAAGAAAATAGTTCCTTCTTTAAACGGTTTTATTTCGCCCCCCGTCCAGAATTTATGTATTTTGGTCAGCATTAGAGATTTAAATTTAAGTATCTTCCCGTTGTCAAATTGATTTGAAATTTGGTACACCCATTTGATTTAGATGACAATACAATATAATAAAATCAATAACATTATAAATCCAAGATGGCCGCCGATACAAAATGGCGGATTACACATTTTTCCTTATGAAAATGAAAGGGCTACAACTACTGTAAAACACGATGATTATGTCAAAATTTAAAATTGTTTTCTAGTTTTCAGTGCACAAAATAATAAAACCGTTTAATTTAAAGTTTATTTTAAGTTGATACTCGTTTTTAACTCATTAAAGAGCAATGCGCAGCAACTATACACGAATGAAAATGTCTTTGTAAGCAAAGGCCAGTGAAGTCAACAAATCGAGAAGCAGTTAAGTTGAAATGAGGCTTAGTCCGCAATTGTCTGGATTATTTGCGAACTTGCGGCTGACCGAGCTTACACTCGGCTAAATTAAGTCTTATATCTACAACAATGAGTACATTATGTTGGAGTTAATTGCTTAAACGGCTCTGTTTCTCTCACTAAAGAATGGTAATTTAAAAATCGAAAATAAATTGAAAAAAATTTTCGACTCGGGCAGGAAAACAAAATGTTTTCAATTTATTTCCAATTTTTGAATTATATAGTGCCTTCATGTGCAATAACATGTGAAAAATATTAATGTTGATTCAAATAAATTGTATTCAAATTTTTCTTTACTTAAATTTTTGAACACTAAACTTTAAAAAAAGATTTATTTAATTGGCTTTACGAATATCTAATCTACAATATATAGTAACCATTATATATTCTATGTTATATATAAACCATTCGTTTGTTGTTTATAATTAACAAAGTAAAATAAAAAAAAATATTACAGTTTTAAAGTGTTAATAAATGTAATACTGCGACAAATAAGAGCGAAGGAACACTGAAAAAATAATAATCTTTGCGGGATACCGTTGCGCGAGATATTTCACATGGAAAAATAACGTTTGCCAGTTGAGCTTTTGGGTAATTAGAGACTTGCATGAATGGTTAAACGTAGCCTAGCATTGTGCGAGAAATTCGGGTTCAAATTCCAATTAAAACAATGAACTGTTTTGGTTGAGCAGGGCACAGAAGTCTGATCAATAAAACCGTTCAGAGATACGCACAGAAAAGTGTTCGCCCCATGCCCCACGGGGGAATGGGATTTCACTACGAATAGGAGTCATATATAGTCCGAATTGCAAGCTAAAATGTTTTATTATAAAAGGAAACAAATTAGAACAGTCTTCCGTTCCTTTGTACACTCACAATAAAGAATTGCATTCCGTTGTTGGTGCACGTCAAATGACTGCGAACAATAAACTCGATACTAAAAGACCAATATTACGGGGGAACGAATCGCAGCTTTGGAAACCAATAGTATTATATGTTTCGTTGCATGTCGTCTTTTATATTTTCCTGAAATTTCTCGTGTGATGAAGAAATTTAATACTCACAAGCGAAGCAGCTGCAGCTGCTCGTCGTGGCTTCTATTCCTGTTGTTTCATATTTTTTTGTTTATTTATTTATTCAACAAATCTACATAACCCTACACATAACACATAGCTGAAATGTAACCCTAGCAATAATATATAGCATCCTTAAATAAATAAACAAAATTGTCTGGATATAGAAGTTATTCACGTTATTATCTTTGCAAAGGAAGCTTTTTTGAAAAACATTGTTGATGTCTTCGCAATTAAAAATGCGATAGTCGTTTTGTCAAAATAACAAATAACTAAAGATCGATCAGCACGGCTACGTAATAAAATGATGTAGGGTAGTTATATATATATTGAGTATAAATAATTTTATTTTAAAGCACATGAGTAATTCATATCGAACTTCAAAAAATAACCCCCGGGCACGGCGCTCCAGCGTTGTAAGATGAAAAAGGATTTCCCGAAAATTCGGGTTCAAATTAAAATGCAGTATTTTAAATTTTAAATAATATTTGGAAATGCACGCTTTTATTATTTTTATATGGGCTTGATTAATGATTATTATTTGTATGGTATGGTGTGTTAGTAGTTAACACTATTTGAACTACAAAAATAACATGCTATCTTTTTTAGTAATAATACATTATTATAGGATATTAAAGTACTATGGGAAACAATAACTAATTATTTACCTTATGTTTTTTTAAGTTAAGCTTTGTAATCTGTTATCGTAAATAAGCAATCTTTACGATAATTCTATGTTTACAATTTAGTT